GTGACAAGACCTGTATGCATTGTATTCTTCCTTGTAGCGTAAACAGGAAAACTCTTTTGCTGAGGAATAAAAGAAAACTCCCACGAAAAGAAACCATTTTGCCGTTTCAATGTTAGGAGATACGAAGTGGGTTTTTACGATCCGGAATTCACCATGGGTGCACACTTTCCTCAAAACCTATACGAAGCTTCTCACGACGCCCGTCGAAATTCCAACGTTTGATTGTAGCCTTTTGCACTGCCGAATAATTGGCTCCCACAGACCAGGTAACAGTCGTCACGAGATCAGAGGAAAATCTTCCCCATTCTTCCCTTCTACCAATGAAGTTATCTTTCTTACTTATATAATGTCATTCCACGAGCAAGCAGCTACATTTCTGCACTGTTATGGTCAACCTAATAATGATCGCTTGCGTCTCTCTTGCTTGGCGCCAGAGATAAAAACAAGGAAGATAACGTCCCTGGCAAACTGCTTCTGTCTTGTTCTGCGTACCCTAGTGCACAGCTTGCTAGACAAGCAATATTTCATAATCTTACTTGAGGTGGATTCCTCTACTTATTTCTATCGTAAAAATTTCTGTGTATGTTTACACAAGGGGCGAGTTTGACCAAGAGCGCGAATTTACTGACTGGAAGTTCCGTGGTTCGAACCCGAAATCCGCCTCTCGACTTTCTCAGTCTAGGCTTGGGCCACCCGGCAGTATCCCAGCCCTCGTGCCTCCTTTGTATGGCACGGCAGCTGGGCACCAAAAAGGTACTACGGCTGAAAGATTTCACACAAATCTGACTGTCGTTTGTGATAATCTGCCTATCTGGTGTGCAGGGCGTGATGGCAAAGACAGGAACTGAGTGGATACGGTGCTTGTTGTCAATCAGCTGGCTATCAACTGGCAGCGCAAACTGATCATATTGTATGGAAACTTTTAAAGTCAAAACACAGCGTAGTGCAACAATATTTTATAATCGGACGTGAGAGGCCCTTTTTAAGGTCTGTATACATTGCATCTTCAAAGCGTTCAAACTATTCACATCGCTGGTCAGCGATTCTTGGTCTGACACAATGGTGTTCAAGTAACGGCTGCGAAGTCTTACGTTCTAACAACCCTGGAATTAAGGGTGATACGTATAATAACTTTGAAATAATCATACCGCGCCTTTCAGGTCTTCGGCATGGACTGATTTTGCTCTTAGGTGCAGTCATGAGTCTACTTACAGATTTTCGCCCAAATTCATAAATTTGCCAGGTACCTTGCAAGTTCCTCCGAGTGTAGTCACGGAGTACTGTGCCGGTGATCGAAAGACGTTTGTTTCGGGAAGGCTGATCTGAAGTATTACTGGATTCCTTTACCTGACCTAAGAAGACTACATCAATCTATTGTTTTTTTTCCTCAGCGTTTATTCGAGCACTCCTTTTGGAATTCCTTCAGATGCGCAAACGGTACAGGTAATCTTTATGATTTAAAAAAGTTAAGAGAAGAATGGTCTACCCCTGGTTGTCAAATCTATTGAGAAAAAGTACCCTTAATGTTTTAGATTCCAGGACTATTGTTTCACGGTCACCTGACTTTCAGACAACTGCCCGTAAATATTCCATACCGTTGCACTTCTAATTTGTCAGTTTAAAGGAAATTTTGTGCGAAAGCAACCAAGCAAAATGAGTGCCTAAAATTTCTGATGTACTTAGCATAAAACCAGGGAAAGACAACGATTCGGTGACGGACGTTAAGAAGTGGTTAACCGTGATAACGTGCAAGACATGCATAGTTGGTGTTGATAATATGCATGAATTACCGATGGAACTTGTTTTCGTGTCTTGGTAGCTGTTTTTCATCCAAAAGAACCAACGGAATGGAAATTGCAAGTGTTTTGTTGGCCAGAACTTCGCCGCCCGTAACTAAAGCGATTTTCACTAGAAAAAGACGTTCGGAATAGGATAAAACTTTGAGCAGTCCAATGTTGTGGAAATTTTCATATTTGTGGCTAAAAAATCTTTAGATGGACTACCAAAACCCTGCAGAGGAGCCACTTGTCGGATGATAGCTATTTTCCCAAGAGTGAAAGTGGCTTAAGGAAGATTTCTGGGATTAAATCTATTGAGAAAAAGTACCCTTAATGTTTTAGATTCCAGGACTATTGTTTCACGGTCACCTGACTTTCAGACAACTGCCCGTAAATATTCCATACCGTTGCACTTCTAATTTGTCAGTTTAAAGGAAATTTTGTGCGAAAGCAACCAAGCAAAATGAGTGCCTAAAATTTCTGATGTACTTAGCATAAAACCAGGGAAAGACAACGATTCGGTGACGGACGTTAAGAAGTGGTTAACCGTGATAACGTGCAAGACATGCATAGTTGGTGTTGATAATATGCATGAATTACCGATGGAACTTGTTTTCGTGTCTTGGTAGCTGTTTTTCATCCAAAAGAACCAACGGAATGGAAATTGCAAGTGTTTTGTTGGCCAGAACTTCGCCGCCCGTAACTAAAGCGATTTTCACTAGAAAAAGACGTTCGGAATAGGATAAAACTTTGAGCAGTCCAATGTTGTGGAAATTTTCATATTTGTGGCTAAAAAATCTTTAGATGGACTACCAAAACCCTGCAGAGGAGCCACTTGTCGGATGATAGCTATTTTCCCAAGAGTGAAAGTGGCTTAAGGAAGTTTTATTGGCTGGAATTTTCCTTAGGTCGTGATGTTGCCATACGGTGCTATCGATTACCGCACCCAGTATCATCTCGTCGAAACCGGTCTGGCGGTTTCTTCACCAACGTGGCTTCACTCATCAGCCTGGTTATCGGAACATGCACGGAACAACATTTCATATCCACGCGATCCCGAATTATTTCGAACGTTCTCTGACTAGCTGAAATGCATAAATAGCGTTTTCCTTTCAATCGGTGACACCGAAAGGGCTGTCTGAAATCGACCATCAAAGGCGCAAATTTCTGTCCGAAATTCAATTAAGCAGAAATTTTCAGCTTACGTCATATTAATGAAATTGCCAATTGGTTCGCTGTTCGCCGAACATCAGGAACATACGTTCAACACACAGTCCACTTTTTGTTCTATGCTGTAAAACTGTGGCTACTTTTCCACTGAAAAAAATCGTTCAGCTGTAGCACCTTTTTGGTGCCTAACTGCCATGTCACCAGAAGGAAGCACAGAGACTGGGATACTGCCATGTTGCTCAAGCCTAGCCAAGGGAAACCGAGAGGCAGAGATCGGGGTCGAACCACCGACCTTCCGGTCAGTAAAAATTCGTGCTCTAACCACTGAGCCATCTCACCATCTCTTCCACTGAAAACTAAATGTGTATTCTTCCTTTCTTGATCCATGATGAACTTTTGGGATTTTTCGAATGTGACCACGTGCGGTAAGTGGAGTCCAACTATGCTGCAATGGTGGAGCTTAGCGCAGAGCTTTTTCACCCCTACAGGCTTTTACCATGTCTCCTTTAAAGAGCAATTGAAAAACTCCGAAATCTACGAGCTATGAGTAGCCCAAAATGAAAAGCGATCCAATCAACGAACGAAACTCACATGTGAGAAATCGTCACTCGACAACCAGTCAGAACCTGCCCACGTCACGTGAATGCTTTGAGTGAGTACCGCTAAATCCTATTTAAGTGCTCGTGCTAAATGCACTGCAGATCAGCCGCTCGTATCCGAACGGCCATGTGTTCAACCAGTCAGGAATTTATCAGTTTAAATCCTCCTGGACATATGTGAGATGTATTAAAATGGATCTCACAATTATTTGCTTCCTTCAGTATGAGTCCAAACACAAAGTTGATTGCCCGCATGCAACAGCGTACATTCGAATGTTAGAGGGTGGGTCGACCTTAGATGCAATGTCATCATAGAAAAGTTCCCGGTTTTATGTTTCTGCGTTCCACATTCACTGTGCAGCGACTGTTCAAAACTCAGTTTGGAATGAATTTTAAATCAGAAATACCAGATGTTAAAAGAGTCAAGTCGAGATCCCTAGCCGACTTTACGAGTTGTTGATAGTTGTGCTTTTTAAATTGGCTGTGGCCCATATTCAAAATCCACAGCCTCTGATGTGTTTAAAGTTGTCTACTATCTTGGTATATTGTTCATAGTCACACCACTCTCGTTTGAACGGCCGTGTTCCTGCTCTGGCGTAATTATTCCGGTGAATCCACACCAAAGAGAAGCGCTGGACTCGAGTTTCGCTCTTATTAGAGCTCATAAGCAGTGCATATCCAATGGCCGTGCCGGAATTCGAACCCTGGGTGAGTGTGTAACTACTACTCTGAATTTTCATGTCTGAACGGGCGAACGTGTTCGCACTTGAGCGATGTGACTGGTGTGCCCGACTCATCGAACGACGACTCAGTGACTGTCCTGGTTGTGACGATCGACTGACCCGCCCGTCAGGTATTCCCAGTCAGTTAGCGTGACACACGCTTGAAACCCACTGGGCAGCTTTTTGGTTGCAGTTTGGGATTTTTCGGGATAGGTATTTTGTTCATAACCAGAAACAACTTCGGTTTAGACAGTGGGTGTAGAGTGAAGGCTTGTCCTCTTGTTTGGCCTGTGTTTATTGGATAATCCAAACCTGGGTCCTTATAAACAGAGTTTAGCTGTGTCTGTTTGTATCTCTGCTCGTTTTGGTGGGTTAGAGGCAGCCCTTGTATGTTCCATGGCTACTGGCAAATTAGTACTCAGCATCATCCATGCATATCACTCTTCAACATCGATGCTTCTTTGCCGTATTCACTACCGACTTATGAAAATTCTCCATTCCTGATATGCAACAAAACTGTTTCAGAAGAAAGCGTTTTGTTTAAATTTGATTAGACATCATCGACTCGGGATAAATCAGGCGTAAGATACAGAAACTTATGTACAAAATGGCAAGTACGTTGAAGTTATACAGGCGCATTTTACCGGTAAGTTGGACTGAGTGCTTTTCGGGTCAGGAGAGGTGGAGGAGGGTCGATATAATCTAACTGACTTGCTTTCAAACTACACTTGCTAAGTGATCGTCCCAAGGTCCATAGGTTCTTGATTCACTGCAGGTGAAATAATGGGAGATGAGGGCGAAGTTGAGGAAGAACACACTGAATGGGTTAGTTTTGAATGATTGTTCACCATACACCCAAGATCCAACGGATCCCCATCAGAGCGACCGACTTTCAAGCCCACTTTGAACAAATCGGGAGAAGGAACGTGTCCGGGGACATATTTGTTGTTTGGGCATTGAGTGTCGGCGTTTGGGAACGAAAAGGGAAAGTTGGAGGTAAGACTAGACAATGTATGCAAAAATAGTCGGTAGTATTGATCACCTGGAGGCAGGCCAAAGCAGGTGTGAAGTGATGAAGTTTGTTCTTTTGTGCTCGACTCTTCTGGATGCGATTTCGTCATCCGAGGTTCGTCATTGACAAGACACCGGTCACCATAGACACTGGCATTTCGTAGCAGTGGAGATTGTTCATCCAATTTGGACTGTTTATTAGCCACATGCTGTAGGAAGAGTGGCCACATATGAGTAGTATTAAGCTTGGTAGTTTGCTCAACATTCATTTTAATGTATCGATCGAGACGATCATAAACCAACCGAGGAATGAAACTCCTCGGTTCGGGCAAAATCGGGTTACCTCCCAGGGGACTAGAAGTCCTGGACATCTCAGTGCTGTTTGTTGTGTCACGCGTGAAATGATTGACTGGGTTCGATTTGGCCTCGGGATGAACATAACCAGGGAAATTGGGAAAGGCTTGTTCTTTGACTGGTTGCGGCATTGAGGAAAGAGCTAAAATGCTAGCGTTCATCAAGGATTGATAAAGTGGAAGATTATTTGGCGTCATCTTCGTCGTCGGGAATAGTTTACCTTCATTCTTCTCAATGGCATTATTGTACCCAGTAGTTCTGCTTTGGTGATTCAGCGTACCTTGTTCACAAGGGATTTTTCTTGTATTGACCGGTGGTGTCGGATATGACGTAACAAAGCTCTTTGTCGACCCGCTGCAATTATGGACCGAAGCTTCTGTACCGGAATGATGGGATATCGGTGAGGGTGTTCTTGCAGAAGTCAGTCTGAATGCTGAGGACAGTCCCGTCAAAACTGTGGTTGCCGCGGCTTGCTGCGCAAGAAGATTTTCCATAGATTCGCTGTGAAATCGAGGAACAAAAAACATGAAATGACATGCAGTGAAGATGGCTGGCAGGATCAGTATTGTATGACACACATGCCTTCTCAATTCATCCCGGAGGACCGGACTATGTATTCGTCTTTCTTCGACAAGCGCCTTCCTTCAGGGAATCCTCTTTCACTGTGGAATCATCACGTTTTCGATTTGGATGGATTTTATTGGTTGGCTAACAAAAGAGTTTTGGATTCATTCGTAATTTACTACTCATAAGGTTGCTGAAAATCCGTCTGAGAACATCACAAACGAGAGATTCACCCGTGTTCCAGGTGAGTCTCTCGAAAAAACCAAACCAGTTTGCAAATGAGTGTATATTTGCTAGTTTTGGATTTATTTATACTTGTCTCAGTTGATCGTAAGAATTGTTCACTAAATTGACCATTCAAGTTTTTTCCATTCCTACAATAATTTAGAGGTTTAGTACTCCTTGACTAACATGACTGCTCATCATCATCATCATCATCATCGTCATCATCATCAACACCAGAGACTACAACATCGGTGTTGAAACCGGTGCTTCACTGCCGCATACTCACCAGGTTCTTCGTCAATTATACTTAAAGCCTTTTCCTGTGATACAATCGTCTGAGAAAAAACGGTAAAGTATGGCAATGAGCTCCTGACAGACACCTCACCTTCACTCAGCGCGTCAGGTTTTGTGTGGGTGTGTCATGTCTCTCTGAGATGTGCATTGGTGTATCTCACTTTCCTGTGTTAAAAAAATCAACAGAACAGTCTTTCGAGTAGACTGAGTGTAACAGAGGCGGGTAAGTCATCTATCGCGACTGAGTCTGTCCTACTGCAACTGTGAACACATTGAAACCAGTTGACTGAAGATATAGCAGTGCTGAGTCGAGGTGAAAAAAACTTCGAAGTAGCACATTATCTAACAAAAAAGGAGTTCACTTAGTGTCAGCAGTTGTCGGTACAAGAGGGGAACACTATTCCCGACTTGCCGTTCAGATCCACCAATCCTGGCCGGTGTGCAACTTTATTCGCTGTTCAGCAGCACTGCCTCATCCAAACAGACCTCCAAATTAAGGGACAAAACTCCTTGCCGTCATCCATGACTCATCTTCCTCCGTCAAACACGTGCTTCTTTCCCTTCTGACGACTTTTTGTCACTATAATCGTCCCACAAATCAAATCACATATGTGGGTGTTCAAATAACCCAGGCTCACACTATTTACTCCGGTGACACACCTGGCCAAGGGATTTCCACACTTAGGCGGGACACAACGAAAGTGCGCGTAAATCACGGCGTGCTAATAACTTCCTAGTAGCGTCGGTTCTGTCTACTTCACCTGTCATACGACCATGCTGCGGTCGTTCTCCCCGTTCCGGGAACTAATCGCCCTACTTGTTCGTGTTATTTATTCTTCAAGCTTCCCTGAAGGATGCATGTGTCACACAGTCCACCCTCTAACAATAAAATGAAAGTTGGGGACATTTCTGTTGTATCTAAGGCCTGATACCACTGGTCGATACGTGTCACACTTATCGTGAATTTCACCCGAAATTTCGGCGACATTTTTGTTTCACTTTGAACTGTATTCAAATGAATTCGGTGCTGCAAACCCTCTCCATGAGAGATGTTTAAATAACGGACCTCTGGCACTCACGGTCGCCTTCCGAATTTCTTGTCGGCTTATCAACTGTATCAACGTAATGACTCGAAACATCACGCTAAGTCAATGTAGGCAATAAAAAACGACCCTGTGACGTAAAAGTATTTCAAGAATAGACTAGGTGCCCCATAATTACTTGACCAGGTATCGCTCAGTGTCTTCCCTTCTTGTGTGTTCTCAGCATAGACCAGTTTAGATTACACCAAATTTGGAGTAGTTTAGTATTTGGATGAACAAAATTCTCTCAACTAATCCACTCGGCCTAGATGTCAACCAAATGTCACATCACGACTTGTTTTCACCAACTGAAATGAAGTGAGCTGTGTACACACTTTGTGGTCGGTGACGTCCTCACTCAGCTACCATATAGCCCCCAATTAAACCTGAGGAGTATATGACAAAGTCCCAGAGGAATAAACGTCTTTTGAACTGGTAGAAGAGGCGAAGAAATATGCATCCTTATGTTACTCGATCATAACGTACTAAATCCAGTGAGACGTCAGACGATGTCTACACCATGGCCCCGAACAGTCTATACTACTTACAAAATGCAGCACACCACACACGTACGCATACGGGGTTAAGTGCCTACAAAAAACTGTCCAACCGGTTTATTTTGACAAGGCAAAGGTAACCCCACTTGCCTGAGAAGCACAATGCAGTCTTCACTCAGTTGCTAGGTGCAGGTGCTCTCGGTTGGCATGGGCTCTTGGCAAAAACAATTTTGGCGACAGGGCCGTGGCATTTGAGATGGGAAAAAAGAGCGAGACGAATATTGCGCCAGACTGCGCTGTCGCCAATATCGCTGGTGTATCGACAGGGTGGTGAAGCGCAGTGTACTGAAGACTAAACGACCAGGCCTGTCCCGCGCGCGGGCACAAGTACACACGTACAAATCTACAGGTGGTGGTGATATGTAAATGATGTTGTCTGAGAAACTCTCCCCCAGATTTTTCGGGTAAACAACACGTATTCGGTCTGTTGGCAGCTCTCGCTCCCTGACGCGCTACTGATTCGCCGAGCTTTTCGCTCCGTAAGTCGCTGGGTGGTGTTGTGTGTACGCATGCGTTATCGACGCCAAGACTATTGTCGTCATCGGAATCGGTGCATTCCCAAGTTGACAGTTCGTTTACAAAACAGATAGGCCTCATGATTCGTGATGCATTGGGCGCAAAATTTTTGTCTTTCCTCCTTCTCCGAACAGGTCCAGAATAAGCATTTTATCCATTTAGTTAACAGGCGGCATAATAGCGCCGTAAGTTCGTTCATTTAGGCAAACAGTTGAGCATGAACGCCTTTTTTCAGCTTGCCTTTGACAAGCGGAGCACACGTGCATGAGTAATGTGGATTTTCGGCTTTTTCTTAGCAAACTCGGCATCAGGCATGTTCATTGATAGGGGTTGTTTCAAGCCCTTTCTTGCACCGCATCTCTTCCCTTGATTATTCGATAATACAGAGTCCACCAAATTGAGTATAGGCTATCGTACTACAGGCTCAGGATCTTTCCACCAGTGCATTTCCACATTCATTATGCTCCGAGATTTCTTCGAATCTTCCCTTGATTATTCGATAATACAGAGTTCACCAAAATTAATATAAGCTATCGTACTACACGCTCAGGATATTTCTATCAATGCATTTCCACATTCAATATGCTCCGAGATTTCTTCGACATTCGGCACAACGGCATGATCACAGTCTATTCCGCTCCTGCATAGACTGCACAACCGTGGCCCTTGTGGGGGTTTTGTGATGCTTTTGTGTAAAACGGTGGACCCATGGCAAAAGAGGAAGCAATTAATTGGGCCAAACACTGGCCGATATAAGGATTGTCTGAGGCTAAAGTTCAGAGTTTGACAGGACTCAAGGATCCTAACTGCGGCCAACCAATACGACGTATAGGTTTCCACGACCACATTCGTAATCATGGTTTAGATCTGGCCACTGTGGAAGCACACCATCCGGTCGGTCCGAGTAGAGTTTAACACAACCACACCGCTGGCTATTGCTTAGTATCACCGAAATCTAAACTTTACGTGTGACGTTTCAGGCATTTAATCTTAAGGGATTTGGGGATGCTTCGTTCTCTCTTGAAGGGATGTCCAGGTTTGGTACGTCAGGCGATAAAACTACCGAATCGTTGGAGAACTAATGGCCAATCAGAAAACTACGCTGAGTAGTTACGGATGTTTGTAGCCGATATTTTAGTCAACTGTGTATCAAACCGTAAACTGTAGGGGTAGTCTGTGAACTCAGAAAGATAAGCAACGTGTTTCTTACGTTGGTATCGAGTTTTTGAAAATGAAATTTTGCTAAACGATGATTTCTGAATAAGCTCGAAACGCAACCGAAAAAGTTCATGTGCCTACCTACTTTCTGCTACCTCCAGAAACTCAGACGAGACAGGTAACTTTAGTGGTGCACTGAACTCTGTCGAATAAGCTATGCTTCAAACACTGATTTGAAAGGATGGATTCTATCACTGTCTCAGAACAGTGTGGCTGATTTTACAGCTATATGTACAAGTGTACACACAGGTTAGCAGCCCTTTTGAACGAACATGCGATGGTTCACAGGAGCGCCTCTACGATTTTAAATGACTTCAACAAAGCACCATGTGCGAATGATAATATTCATCTTACTTTCTTCTATCCAACCGCTGAATCAGTATCATTCAAAGATGCTGCCTTGGTCCTAATGCGTTCTCTCTAGTTCCGGTCTAAGTATCTGCATCGCTATTGTGTTCACGAATTTCAGTGTTTACCCTCATACAGACATCCATGAGTACCATCAACGCACGAAAAAGCTTTTAGAATGTGGCGTTTTTATGATGATGATGATGATGATGATGATGATGATGATGATGATGATGATGATGATGATGAAATATCCTAAACGAATTCCTGTTGAAATCATCTATTCTTGCTGTTATTTTGTGAGTCTATTTTAAAGGTATGGTAAAGACTGATTTCTCATAATCAGATGGACTACTAAAATCTGGCCGTATTCAGTTCACTACCCTCTGTTTATCCAACGGATATGTGTGTTCCATTTCGTACTCCTCTGTTTGATGCCATCCTCCACAAGTCTCAATTTTCTGATTGTTTAAACCTTGTTGACCAATAGTTAATAGCCAGAAAGTTTTATCCGAATGGTTTCACGGAAGATGTGATCATACCAGTCTGCTGGAGGTTGGCGTACTGCCCAAGATTTTAGTGGACATATAGTTGAATCCCAATAAGTTCAGCCGTGAGAGCGGCTTCATTCTTATTGAGAAAACATACGGTGAGAGTAGGCATATCACATACATGACTATGCTGTTGGTG